AAAACAGATGCGATGGAAATAGAAAAAGTAAATGTCTTAGAAAATAAATATTAATTCTCACAGGGCATTGAACAGTTCAAGTATGCTAATATACACGTGCACGTGTCTCCGGCGTGGCACGTGTCTGTTATCTACGACAACATCGCTGATCCTACGTAACTATCTTGCGAAATAAATATAACGTGTTTTTGCATATTTTTTTCTACACGCGCCACTCCTTTCGCCCACTCATTATGACCGCATCTAACTTTTGGTAAGCAAAATTTAAAACAAAAAAAATTACAGTAATTTAGAAAAAAATAATGATCAATGAACATTTTACAAAGCCTATCATAATCTAACCGCAAATTGCCTCTAAAATGTCACAAACTGATAACAGATCGCAACGTTATCAGGTGTCTTGTTTGAGCACTTGTCGATTTTAAAATCTCTTGTCTGCCTAAAGATTATAGTATTGTCCGTAGTAAAGAAGTGTAAATACAACACAGAAATATAATAGATGTTATGCCTAAGTATTTTTTTAATATTTCGAGCTCATTTTAGATTTTTACGACTTTAATACCTATCTATACTATTATAATAAAGCGTAAACACACATTTCTTTGTTGCCTAAGATTTCAGCAATTACAGCATATTTTTGAATAATTATTTTTGTAATTAAAAGCCCTACACTTACGTCATGCTTTAGGCTATATATTTTCACGCCTTAATGGCGCACCACATAGCAAAAATTGCCATAGTAAGGTAATCGGTATTTTGACATTTGCAATTGATTATTTAACTTATGTAAAGCATAAAATAAAAAGTTATTAATTTTATGCGGATGAAGTCGCAGGGGAACAGCTAGTCAGTTATACATGAGTATTATTATAAAATCTACAGTTATACTACGAACTACGAGTATAATAAAATCTAAGCCAAACTAATAAACTTTTATTTTAATGCTGCATTGTTATGATAACTTGTTCATGGACCTGACTCGTGAATAATTCCTTATGCAAAATCCTAAACAACACGACAACATTCTACTCAGCTGTTAGTAACTAAGTGAATAATTTCAGAGCAATGTCTAAGAAATAATAATAACACCATTATCTTAAGGCAAGTACCCATAATTTTATTTGTCTATTTTTGTTAAAATTGTGTTTGAAAATAAATGAGTTTTATAATAATGGCCCACTGCGTCACACGGACACGGCTGAGAAGAGACCTTGGCACTCTTGTGCGATGCCACACTTTGTTAATGTTTGTAATTCTTTTATTAAACGGATTACATAGTTAGTGTCTCTAAGTATATATAATTGTTTTATTACCTGTTTAACAACAAATACGCGGTGTTCCACTAACAGCAAAATTGCCTTTTTCCTTTCAGAACTAAGTGGGACACCAGATTTCCTAATTGTACATTGCCAAATATCGCCTACGTTTAAGGTTTTTTTTTTAATTAATCTTAAAAGCGTTTAAAAATAACCTGCGAAAGGCATAGAGGATAACACGCCGATCTCCTTGATGGTCATCTTGAGGTCGCATGTGGCGGCGGTGGCGATGATGCCCAGACCGAAGATGTCGATGCCCATCGCTATGATGACCATAAAGCAGGCAAACAGCAGCCCATAGTTGTATCGCCCGTGACCTGGAACATGTTTCACAACGCTTTGATATTATGACAATTATAAAACTGCCAATTACTTTTGTTAAAAGATTTAAAACTAGCAGCTTATTCTGGATCCACCATGATTATGGATACAATACTATCCTACGGGATGAAAAGTTTGGTCTGTCTAGTAGACTTTTAGTCGTATATGATCACGCGATACGCACATGTCTCCACATGATCTGAATTTTAAAACGCCACTGAATTAACATCGTAAAGCAATTTATTTATAATATGAATAGTTTGCTCCGAATATCTTTTAAGGCTTAAGAACCGTCAATGATCTAAGCCAAGGCTAGACTTTATCATAAAACGAATTTGACACTACTGTGTTTGTTTTGTTAAAACATTCCAATGCAATATTTGCTAGCTACTATAACTCCAGTTAGATTTCACAAGTGACGAATAGTGTAACATAAAAAATTATTAATAATGAACAGAACATTTACTAAACTAGTTTACAATAAGTTATGATTCCAGACTACATTCTACATCTGCGCCAAATAGTAAGATGCGTAGTCAAAATCATCCATCTATCTAAACAATGCTCTGTTCGTTCGACCTATTTATGACAATGATTCGCAATAAAATACAACCTCTTTAGAAAAAAAACTATGTTAAAGTAATTCAAAATCGAGAAAAATTATCGTGTATACAAATTCTAAGTGTTTTTTAATGTATCTCAGATTGAATATCGTATTAACTAGCAAAGATTAGCTAATGTAGATATAAACAAAATATACACGAATGACAATGACGTATGGAGGCATTTGGCGGTTTTATAATTCTCATACAAACAGGCTTCCTTAAAGCATCCTTCATAGCAGATCACGTGGACGTAAAAATTTAAATTATTACCTTTTAAAAGTTGCGAGGCCACAGATTTTACGTATTTTCCTCATTATTGTTAATGTCGTGAATTTTATCTCTTAAAAAATAGTTAAGTTTCAACATAATCTTATTTTACTCCTTTAAATATAAATGCGAAAGTTTAGATGTTACAATGTATATCCAGGACACAACAGATCTAGAATGTAGTCTGGAAGAACACATAGTCTACTAATTAATTTTTATTTTCAAGCCGAAGATGTCGCGGTCAACAGTTAGTCTATAGTCTTTAGTAATATTATAAAGAGGATTTTTGTATGTATTGTAATAACTCAAAAACTGGGCCGATTTTAAAAGTTCTTTCACC